TATTATTATTATTATTATTATTATTATTATTATTATTATTATTATTATTATTATTATTTTTTCATTTCCTTTAAGACTAGATATCTTAACGATAGATCATTTAAAGGCTGTCAAGTGTTCCGTTTTGAAACGAAAATCAATATCACAATAGTGTGTATTAAAATAAATTATAGTACTTGTCTCCAATGTTAATGTAAATTATCGATTATTAATTATGTTTTGTTTAGATGTGATGATTTCTTTTTTTTTTTTTTATGTAGATGTATCTATATTTATATTATGCGTGTAAATGCAACGATGTGATGATATGTTTTTGTTATATCAAATTAACAATTTTATATATATTTTTGGAATACGTTTTTCAATTTGTTTGCCTATATAGTATGTAAATATATATATATATTAATGTTAATATTATGTGCGATCTATGGCTATCGTTATTTTAATATATATATATATATATGAATTAAATAATTTCGTTTTGAGGTTAAAAAAAATCGTGGGACAGTTTCTAGATTTTTTTTCTTTAAAAATTAGAAGAATTTTTAAAAGAAAATTGAAGATCAGTAATCCAACCTAACCTAACTAATTAATGGATGGCTATAGGATATTAATTTCATTATAATTCTATATCAATAATTTTACTAAAAAATGCATATAAATAAAAATTTATCATTCAATACCAGCTAAATTAACTATTCACTAAAAAAAAAAAAAAAAAAAAAAAATGTACGTAACTAAAATTATTACAGTTTATACTATATCAGATATTAAATTTTTATTTGAAGATGTCCAAGAGCTTTTGAGCTTACATACACTTTATCGTCATTCAACAGATGTAAAAAAAAAGCTCGTACAGGACATTGAACTGCTTCCTGCGCGAAACGAAAATATCAATTGACAATTATTTTTTTTCTTAACAGACTCAAAAAAATATATTCTTGCACACTCATGATAGATTAAATTTAATTCTCAATGCATTTTGCTTCATGTGACTTTAAGAAGACTATTTTATATATATATATATTCTTTTTCGTTATATATTTTAATTTCTAAATATCTCTTTTTATTAAGAGATTAAGAAAATTAAAAGAAAGAAAAATTTTCAATATAATCTTTCTTTTTTCTTTTTAAATTAAATTCGAAAATAATAAATTTTTTTCTTTCGAACATCAACATGCTATACATAACATCGTGTATTATTCGTGATTTTCAATAATTTTATATCTAATCATTTTCACTTTAATCGAAGCAAAAATGTTTCTCACGTTACGAAAACCGGTATCGCCATTATCGCGATACTGTATGCTAATAAATATAACTACGTAGCTACTGTTTGTCCTGTTCGTAGGTAAAGAGAGCTCTCCTTCCCTTAACAAACTATTATTAATTTTCACGATGCTTAATGGCGACATATTACGATCATTTATTAGCAGGAAGCAGAATATCGCGTTTCATATTTAATCCTTTAACCCTTTAACCGGTCAAACGAGTCAATTCGTCACTTGAATCAATGTTAAATCTCTTACTTATTCTTTTATTTATATCTC